AGGCAGAATTCGCAAAATGGTGGCATGATTCCCAACTCAGGGCGCCCATCTACTGCGCTGAGGGTGACACTGTCTGGCTTAGATTGCCCGTAGCCTATCTTCTACCATATCCCTGGCATGGGATAGACACCACAGACGGCGGGCTAGAATCTCTTGCTAGCAAGGTCCAAGCCATAGTACGGCTCTAGTCAAGTTCTTCCTTACTTTCTGGTTTTTGGGGGCCTATCAATACCACCCCCTTACCACTGACCAGTTCTTGTGTGATTTAGGTATCATCTCCCGAATTCAGTGTTATGATCGCTTTTCATTCAGGAAGACTGGACAAAGCACCCTATCTGATCCCGACCTTCAACATTAAGACCGTGGGATAAAAAAACGCCCGCTCAACTCGGGCTCCTAAATAATCAAGCCTTCTTGTAATTCATGTATCTACCATACAAAGATGGTCTCCTTGTTTTGGACGGACAAAGTGTGATGCAGTGTTTCTGCAAACCAAACAAGCTGAAAGATGTAAGCAACTCGGGAATATTCCAACTTGAATATGCCTGTTGGGTTCTCGTAGGATATCTGTGGGCTCGGGACTGCTTGGCAAGGAGATGCTGGACATATTCATCCACAGGTCTTGCTGCCCCTTGGGGTGATTTGGAGAGGAGCAAGTTGAGACATCTAGACTCATTGAGACTGAGTGAAATTGATGGCCTATCCAGGACGACGACCCATGCTTGAGACTTCGCAATTACACAAATGCAGTTGTGGGGGAATGTGGTCCTGGATGGCATTCATAGGATCATGAAGTCTTTCGGTGTTGCTCAAGTAAATCCGGTGCTTTCGTAGTAAATTAGTTGAGAAATAGCGAATTCCATGGGTGTAAACCTGTGACTGCTCTTCTAATTTTTATTCTGCAGCCATTTGCCAGCCCAGTCCCCATGGAGAGGTCGCTGATTAACAGACAGAGGGAGAGGAAACAGAGAGCCGCTGACGTCCAGAGATGTAGGTTTGGTGAAAATCAGTGGCGCTACCTACTATCGAAGATAGAACAGGACCTAGCCAAGCCTGCATATGGTTGTCTGGGGAACATGAAACCTTCACTATTCTATGTTTGTAGCAATGCACGTGCCGAGTCGCCAATTTCATAGATCTGATATACCAGTCTGTAGGTTGCCCGTGTGGTGCCTAACTTCTTGATTTCTCTTTACTCGTCATCATACCACTGCATCGTATGTGAAATCCATCGTGACACTCATTCTATGAAATAGCAAGTAGGACCCGACCGGGCTCAACACTGTTGGTTAATGAATGTTTTGTTCAGCCAGAAGATAACTGGCTATCGTTGGATCGAAGAACGTTTGTTTGTTTGTTCGGGGATGCGAAGGAGTTAGTAAAATACCCCTTCTCCGTAGAGATCATAACAAGCTAGGCCAAGCAGTGCTTATCGAGTAAGCCTCTTCTACCGGAAAGGTAGGACAATGACTGGCTGGAGGTGGGGCTTGAGGTTCCGGGTCGTTTCGGTTTGGCCTCCACCTGGGAGGCCATTTCGCTTGTTTAAACGGGGGTATCTTGTTGTTGAATTGGATTGTGGCTATTCGCCCGTAGGAAATCCAGCTATCCCAGGATCCGCAAATTGGCATTGCAGAAATTCCTTGGACAGGGTCATCGAATCGAGGACGACGGCCTTGAATATGAAATGAATGAACCAGGCGATCCTGCAAGCGTATATGTGTATTATTTGCTGAACGACGAGTGGTAGGATCATCCAACTGCTCTCGACCTCTGTGCTTTCTCTAGGGCGATCCTTGCAGCTTCGGTGCCATCGTCCCGAAGAACAACCTGGAAGAAGGGATGGAGTAACGCATCCTTTGCGGTGATGCGGCGGCTTGGGTCGTATGCAAACATCTTTTGCAGGAGATCGAGGAAATTGCGAAGGAAGGAACTCGTGGAGGGGATGGTCTCCTAACCAATAGTTAGCCCCATTACATCTTCAATGAGAAAGAGACCAGCTCAACCTACTGTTAACTTCTTCATTGCTCGCACAAATCTCCGTGAACCCCTAGTAGTCTCCGGCGTGGGATAGTTGAGCTTCAAACGCTTGAAGTACCTAAAACAACCAAGTTGTTATTATCGATGCACAAAACATGTTCATGGGGGGAGGGGGCGGCATACGTGGCAGGGTTACTGCTACTCTTAGACCCTGATTTGTTGACTTGGCGGACCAGATCCGGGTCGATTCTCGCGTCAAACACGGCTTCCATCATAGCAAGATGCTCAATATTGTCGTGCGTATGAAAAAGTGCATCCCCAGTGTAGAACTCGACAAGAATGCAGCCGATGCTCCAAATGTCACAAGGGTAAGACCAGCCTAGACCCATAATGATCTCGGGCGCTCTGTAATGCCGTGTTGAAACAACTGAAGAATGGTATTCATCGTTGAAAGTAGCAGACCCAAAGTCGATAAGCCTAATTTCCGAACCTAACAATACCTTCCTTTGGTTCGCTTGTCGGGGAGAGGATGTACGCGATGTAGGGATGTTACGGTGGTAGGTGAATGTTTGGTATTTCTCGTCCTTTAGTAGGATATTTTCGGGTTTCAAGTCAGTATGGACGATCCCGATATCGTGAAGAACTGCTTCTATGTTAGAATGGTTTCTGGTGATGGAATAAATGTGCATGAGGAAAGGTAATCTTACAGGCGACACTGGTCAACAGCTGTTTTGCAAAGCTCTGGATGTGACTGTTTGGAAACGGTACAAATCCATTGCCCTTGAGGAAGTCGAACAAGCTGCAACCCAACAGCTCCGTTACAATGCAAATGTGTCCTTGAAAGTCGAAGCAATCTCGGAGATGGATGCATTTGTACTTATTATCTGGATCGTTCTGCCGAAGTGTCTGTAAGACTCGGAGCTCTATCTTGGCGGCGTCTCGATATTTTTGAACGGATCGAATTATCTTGATGGCAACGGAATCCTTATTGTCGAGATCCTTGGCTTGGACGACCTTTCCAAAGGTTCCCTGCCCAATCAGACGCTTTATTTGGACTAAAGCTTCGTCAGTATTGTGACGTAGCTAGTGACACGGAGGGCTGCCACTCACATTGATTAGTGACCTGGCTGTCTGGGACAATAATGTAATGGCCATCGTCATCGTCGACTCTTCTGTTGCCGGCTCCGGGGGCCTAGAGTGGTGTTAGCCACGCGCCATCAACGCGAAGAAAGCGGTACCTACAATGCGCCGAACTGCTACGTCTCTCGCCTTGACAGGTGGTTTCGACAATCCCTGGTATCCAACAACGCTGGGTGACTGACGCGTCCCGTCGCGGTCGGCTGAGGTTTGACCCCGAGTCCTTCTCTTTTTGGCAGCGCGTGCATCTTTGGAGGAGGTCGAGGGTGACGGGACGTCATATGGTGTTGATTTGGACGAGGCTTGCAGTGACTGATTACTGGAGATCTTGGCACTGGTCGATATCGAAGAAGAGTCGTCCTCGTATTTCCGCTTCTTCGTTGCGCTATTCGGAGGTATGGTAGGTGCGATGACATGGTAGGATGCAACCTCTTTGACTGAGCCGGTCGGATCGGGTTCGGGAGTGTCTTCGATCACGATGACTTCTGAGGGGAGGCCATTCTTGTAGAACTCGTTCCAGTCCGGTGCCCCCGTTCGTCTACCCATCGATCTAGGCTTCGCTTTGTCCCGGGTCTGAGCTTTCGTTGTTGACTGGAGAGATGGTTGCGAGGAGGTCGGCGGATCCGCTGCTGCCGCGATAGCAGTATTGTGGTGCTGGGAGGGGTTCGTAGGATGTGAGTGATACGACCGCAGTTTCTGGCGATCGAGATTTCGTTGGGTAAATCCTGACACTTGGGGCAGAGGGTTCGCCGCAAATGCCGACATCTTCCCTTCCTAACTCCAAGAGAGAGGGGTGTTTGTGCCTTGATGGCCTCGAGGAGCAATTAGAGGGTGCTCGGTTGCGATGTCGTCAATTCTCGGAAAAAGGTAAAACCGGGGACAAGCCGCGAGAGACGCGGAACTAGGCCTGCATCGCGCCTGCTGGGGTGATTGACGTCGATGATCCGGCTGGTGCATAGAGTTGCTGCTTCAGAGGCCCCAGAGGGAGTTCCGGCTGGAGAGCAGTGATGGCTCGAGAGTTGCAGAGAGGCGGTAAGGCCCAATTCAAGCCACGGACTCGGTTTCCGCGTGATGCGAGTGTGCGTGCGTGCGTGCTGGGCGGCCGAAGTTTCCCCTGCCAATGTAAAGCTCACGCTTGGGGTAAAGCAAATCCGGAGTACGGACCTTGCTCGCTACTGTAGTAATGTGCACGTAGGTACTCTGTCGTCAACTCGTGGGTCCTGGCTGCTCCTCTCCAGGCTCTCATGCCCTGGAATATTACTGCCTTGAATTGAACCATTCATTCGCGATAGCCGCTTATCTAATCACTGATAAGGGATTCCATCTTGGGGAATCCGCCTCAAAAAGACGCACGTTCATCATAGCATTCCAGCCTTGGTGCTTTGAAACACCCCTGAAAGGTACAATCTGTAGGCAGACCTTTCCTGGGCGAGGGATTAGGTCCACGATGTAGGAGCACGGCGCATTTGCTGTTCGCAAACAAGGCCCAAACAGGTGCCCCTGCCAGCGCAAGCGCTTACGAGTACCTACATACCATAAAGGATGGCTTCCAGCTACTAATGTGCTAGCTTTCCGAGGCCAGACATTAGAAGCAAGGAAGGTAGACAGCTGCCTCAGCGCGATATTATCACTATTAGTATTTCTTTAAATTATCGGTGAACTCATATCATTTCTGTATTTTAATTCTTCATCTTTAGAAAGAAAAACAGCGAAAGGCTTGACGTCCAATGCTGCAAGGGTATCCGTGCTATCTCAAGGCGCGAAGCTTGAACTCTAGGGAGGTTGGTGACTGCGCCAGGGTCGCTACAGTGGACGGTAAGCGCTGAAGGCCCTGGCTTGCCGCTGACTCAGCTGATCACGGGTCACCTCACAACAATGGAATCTAGATGGAGCATGGATCTAATCTCGCCTTGTTGGAGATCCGGGGGACTGGTGATTACTCTCGCGGCGACGGGGCATTTTGCAGACCTAGAACTGCCGGATTGAAGACTCCCGCTATGAAGAGAAAACCAGCTTGTGATGGATGCTACAAGAGAAAGGTACTGCCGGACCGTCTGATTATTTGAGGCTGAAATGAACACTTGGTTGACTCCTGCCGTCATATAGATTCAGTGTGATTCTCCGGATCCAGGGGTCGTGCCGTGTAACTGGTGTCTTCATCATGATCTTTCCTGCACCCTCCAGAGGGTGAGGGGACGTAAATCGACAGCTGCTAGGTTAGAGCATGGCCCGCGTGTGTTGTCATACGGCCCATGGCAAAACGTAATGAAACCAAAAGCTAATCATAATCATCTTCTCCAGAGACAAGCGCAGTATTGGAGCTTCACGACCCCTGCAGCCTGCTACGGCAACTCAGCCTCCCAAGATTGTTTCCTCTTCTTCCTCTATCAGAGCAACCAGTGAGGCGCCTCACCATACTTCCACAACGCCTTCAGGAACACCGTTTTGTGATGGTGCTGTCAATGATCCTCCATCTTCCTCAGATAGGACGCGAGCTGAGTATTTTCTGTGCGCATCTCCTGCTTGCGCCCAAGCTGATGGACAAAACTAACGTGCCGCTCTCTGATTTATTTAGGCCTATCCATTTTGATGGGGTTTACATAGGGAAAGCCACCCCGGGGAACCGTGCGATCGATTTATCTGAGGATGGACGTAAATGGATCCAATCTCACACTGGCGAGTCTGTGTCGTCTATTCTGTTTGAAACAACAGATGAAATCCCACGACCATCCTTGCTCCATGACGATGCCAACAGCATGTCGATAAACCTTGAGAAGCCGCTCCCCCCTAGAGACATGGTGGAAGGGATTCTCGGGGTCTTTGCTTCCTCGGCTGGGCCCTTGATATTCCCTATGATCGATCCGATTCTTTTTAATGAGACCTTGGACTTGGCATACCAAGCTCCGGGAACGACATCAGAGCATGTAAGATGGGGTGCACAGGCTTGTGTGTGGGCGTTCGTTGCCCTTCTCTATCTTTTCAGAGATCGTCTTGGGATCCAGCCACCCGTAGATGGTGATATGTGTGCCGACACTGCTCAGAGTTTATTGATGACCACATGTAAAGACGTCACCCTTGCGACACTTCAAACTAGTCTTCTGCTGGTAAGTTGTTGACACTCACGAGCATTGGCTGAGCTTCTTGTTGACATCTCTATTCTCACTTAGCACTTATATCGAATTTCTTCATCGCGCTTGAAAGATGTTTTAATCCTAGGATCAATCGCGTGCCGCTCGGTGTATGCTCTTGGTGCACATAAATATCATAAAATTGGTCCGGATACACCAGCGATCGCCATTCAAGATCGATATCACCGCCAGCTACGCATTTTATTCTGGGTATCGTTTATTTTTGACAAGGATACATCAATACGCACAGGAAATCCGCCAAAATTGACCAACGACGATTGTGACCTTACCATGCCAGACAATTATGAGAGTGTATACTCTGTGTTGCCAGACTTAGAGGTTGACTTGAGGTCGCAGCCTTGGAACAAAGGGAGATTAGTACCACATTACACTAGCGACCCTCAGCTTAGCTGCCTCAAATATCGGGTTTATAAATCACTTTATTCTCCCGATAGATCAACAAAGTCCGATACCCAGCTACTACATGATATGAGAGTTTTGGACGATGAGATCGAGACGTGGAGGATGTCGTTACCCGAACGTTTCCGACCAGCACTCTTAATTTCAGAAAACAGAAACCAGCATATTACCGGAGAGATGAAGTTACTCGGAAATATGCGGCATGTTCATCTGCAGTTGGAATACCATCACCTGATGTCATTGATTCATCGTGCAAGTGAAAGATACCCAAAGAATGCCTCCTTAGGGTCGTCTTCATCTGAAAGTTCTCCAAGTCATACTGCTGTGAAGACAAGTAGAGACATCTCGGTCGGAGCAAGTCGGTCTACATTGTTTTACTTGAAGGCTGCCGTCAAAAGTCTAGCGGAGGAATCATTCTGGTGAGTTTTGCCTATTTCGTTGGATCTTGGGCTTGAGCTCATCTACTGCGAAATACTAAGTTCTTTTTATGCAGGGCATTAATGATATACCCTTCAAGCGCCGTAATGACCATCTTCTTTAATATTTTGAGACACCCTCTCGATCCACAGACTAAATTAGATCTTGAGATGCTCAAAGCAGCGACCCTTTCCTTTACCCAATTTCATTCGAGAAGTCTGATGAGGAGGGGCAATAAGAATGATTTGGTCATGCATGGCGCTGCAGCCGAGATGATACGGCTTGCGGAGTGCGCAGTGGCAAAGGCAGAGAGAGAAAATGGAAACCAAAACTTAGATTTATGGCCCTAAGATTCCAACTTTGAACAATCAAAATGGAGCAACCATATTGCAGGCTGGTAATGCCTCCGGTATACTCAATACATCATTCTGTTATGACGAGAGTAACATCCGCTGTTTGCTAAGCATAAGATGGTTGTTTAGGACCAATAACTGATAGCTCTTCCTGAATAGTGGGACAAGAACAGCTATGCTTGAAACTTTGCGTAGCATACAAATGAGATTCTGCTCTTGCGAGAAGCAGGATCGATCAAGATTAAGCAAGAAGAAACAAGAGTCATACATTCTGAAGATTGTTACTTTATAGTATGAAACTTACGCATGGATTTCAGCCGACCGTGATGGGTAAGTTCCCTTTTCGGCTCCTAAGACCTCACGTTATCCAATGCTCCTGACTAGAGGTAATTACTACTTGATATTGTCCTGTTAGTAAAGTCTGCATAGAATTTCCTAGTTGGAATGCGGATCATCTAGGATGATTTAATTCTTCACTGCTCTGCCCCTATCCTCCTAATGGCACTCTCCTCGCTTTGTCTTGCCATGACTATACATCCGGCTTAACCTAAAAGAGCAAGTGTTTGCTTCCGAATACCGGTGACGACATATTTCGATCGGATTTTCCATTCAAGTCCAGCCATGAAAAAGAGTATATCCTCCATACCGAAGGCATTGATTGGATTTGATATCTCTACATTGCACGGAAAGTTCCACAAACCGATTCGACGTTTCTGATGGTGAAAAACAACAGAATTTCGGCAAGGCAGACATGGAAGAAGCCATTCTATTCAATCTTCAAGGAGCTGGAATCGGAAGGGTGGCGTGAGATATGCACTTGTGTAGAGCACTGCACAATTTCCACCTCAGGTCAACGAATTAAGGTGCTTCGTGTTTTCTACCATGGGCTCTTCAGATCCCTTTGTCGTACCTGTGTGATGAGGAGGACTATCAGATTGAAATACCGAAATCGTTCTCACTCCTTTTCCCCCAAGCTTAGATGATATGTGGAACTTGCTCACGTATGTGTAGTTCACAAGAGCTAAGGTGTTACAAGCGCCACTAATAATAAGGAATATCGAATATTGGTCTTACATACAAAAGGCTCTCGGAAGCCAACACGGGTAAGCCAGGGACCAGGGTTTCTGCACTGCTGGGTGAGACAACGAAGTGGAGCTCTTATATGGGATGTTTGAGACGTACTGTCGGGCCTACTCGAGATTTACTAGACGATTGTCATTTGCCCAGAATTTTGTCTTGAAATCTCATTGGGTTGGTGAGTTGTCCACCCTGAAACATTGTCGAGGGCTAGCGGTGGTGGGGATATCGAAGGGATTTTGTTGCAAGGAATGCGGATAAAGCATTACTTGGAATTTGAATGGGGCCACCGCAATGTGTATCTTAGTAAAACAGGCTGATCTTTCCAGTTTATAGTGCCAACAACTCCGATATGGGAGAATTTAGGTTTGTGATACGGTAAGCTTCCGAGTATAAGACACTTCTGTAGGCCCATTTCTTCCATTCTTGCAAATTATACCCCCCAGACTCAATCGAATAGAAGCACCATGGAGAAGTTAATGAGCCCTGAGGACGTGCGGAAGGTTCATTCTACCGAATTGCCAGAGAATGGCCCACCATCTGTTGCTTCAGGAAGTGTCGCGGACGAGGAGAAGGAAGCCCGGATAGCACTCCGCAAGGCTGACATGAGGATCCTGCCGTTGCTGACGGTTCTCTACGTGTTCTCATTTATGGGTATGGTTGAGTGCTATGATGTAAATCTTGCAATCGAGGCTGACTTGCAAGTGATAAGATCGCTCGAATATCGGAAATGCTAAAGTTGCCGGCATGAACAAAGACCTCAACCTCACAGGCACTCAGTATAACCTGGCTCTTACTGTGTTTTTCTTCCCCTATTCATTACTTGAAGTCCCAAGCAATGTTATTCTGAAGCTCACACGGCCGTCGCGGTGGATCGCTGCTCTTGTAATATCATGGGGAACTGTGGGTGGCTTGACCAAACTCATCTTTGCACTCAGCTAACCGATAGCCAACTACAGGTTTTGACGCTTCAAGGCATTGTCAAAAACTATGAGCAGCTTATTGTGACGCGTGTATTCTTGGGGATTACTGAAGCTGGTTTCTTTCCTGCTGCAACTTATTTGCTGACTACATGGTATTGTCGTTGGGAGTACCAAACCCGTGTAGCTATTTTCTTCTCCGCTGCCTCTCTAGCCGGTGGTTTTTCAGGCCTTCTGGCCTATGGAATCCAGCACATGGAGGGAGTGGCGGGACTCGGTGGCTGGCGATGGATCTTTATTTTAGAAGGGATCATGACTGTTCTGATTGGCACTATCCTCCCGTGGACACTCCCCGACTCCCCAGCCGTGGCCAAATTCCTGACCCCTAGAGAAAGAGAGTTGATTCAACGGAGACTCCAGCGAGATTCGGGTACTTCCGAAGGGAAGGTTGCTACAGAGGAGGCTTTTCAATGGCGGTATCTTCGTGCTGCGCTGCTGGACTATAAGATTTATCTCGGCATCATCATGTTTTGGGGGAATACGTAGGTGGTCTACTGATATCATAACATGACCCTTGACTGACATATTTCAATAGGATCTGCATTTACGCATTTAGCTTCGCCATGCCGACAATCATTCAGCAACTTGGCTATTCTGCAGCAAATGCCCAACTGCTGACAATTCCTGTATATTTTGTTGGTGCTCTTGCTACCTTCCTCTTTGCAAGACTCGCTGATCGCAAGAAGACTCGTTGGCCCTTTGTCGTTATCCCTTTCTGTATTTCGGCTGTCGGGTTCATCGGTCTACTATCTATTCCACATCCCAAGCTTCCAGGGCTCACATATGCATTTCTGTTCTTTGTTCCTTCTGGCCTGTACCCTGCCGTCATTGGTTGCATTTCTTGGATTAGCAACAATCTCGCTCCAACTTGGAAACGAGCAGTTGGTATGGCATTGCTCATGTCAATCGGAAACCTCGGAGGCGCAGTTGGAGCCAATATCTTCCTGGAGAGTCAAGCCCCCAGATATCCGCTGGGGTACGGCTTGTCACTCGCCGTCGTGTGTGCTGGTGTGGGTGCTGCGATGGTTCTCCGTGTTGTGGTAAATCGAATCAACACAGCGCGACAAGCCATGTCTGACGACGAGATCAGGGCAAAGTACAGTGATGGTAGGTGGCAACTTCCTCGGGGAGGTCATGGGTCTCGAGCTAACAAATCGCTATGCAGATCAATTGCTTCAAATGGGCGACAGCTCTCCTTTCTATCGATATGTTAAATAATCGACCCTAGTTCCATGTTCAGGATCTATAGATCGAGGCTTTGCGGAGTGATGCCGGATCTCGGATCAAGGGCAAACTTGCAAAGATAGGTTAGACAGTTACTCAACAGCGTTGAGCTTACCTTCTCTAAACAACAGAAACATACTCTTTGTGATGTAACGGTGTGACGACTTCTACCTGCCATTTTTACCAATTATAGACGAAAGTGGAAGCTTCCCATGTGCCGCTCCCGGAGTTCGCATGGTTCTCCCCTTGGAGTAATCTATTATTACATTTGGATGACATGCATTTCTTGAACAAAACCCAACTCGATTGGCCAGCAGCGACGAGGCGGGACAGTAAGCATGTGATACAGTGCCACACTTCCTGTTTAGCTTGTTTGACGATCCTTGCCGGGTCAATGCGTCACGAAACACTTTGCCGCAGGGTTGCCTCCATCAGCTGACGGCTGCATCTAGAATGGAAAGAAGGTGAGAGTTTTTCTGGAATCTTTCCAGATGCCCTGTCCTGTGTCTTTTCATCTCGTCGAATTGGACCCCACGGTCGACCCGAGCTGGACCAACTGATGCTGGCCCACGTGTGTCCATCTTGCTGCGCCCAAGGATGGACAGGACGAGACGGAAGTGGCTGCGCAAGTTCACAGTCGACCTCTTCTTTCGCCACCGGAAGCAGAACTATGTCCATCGGCCTCTTTCGCCGGGCCAGATCCGCGTTTTGCATCTCCGCTCCACCAAGTCAAGAGAGATCTACTGTACTATCGAGCATGTCGACGTGGACAAGGCAAAATATGTTGCGCTATCTTATGCATGGGGGAGAGAGGATAGACTGTTTGAACTTCCAGTTTGCAACGAGAATGGATCTTTGGAAGGGATTCTGAATGTGACTGCTAGCCTTGGCAGTGCCATCCAGGATGTGATGGGATCGAACTGGCAGTTCAAGACCCTCTGGATCGACCAAATTTGCATAAACCAACACGACGTCATGGAGAAACAACGGCAAGTCAGCTTGATGGGCAAGATATATTCGAATGCCAGGTCGGTCATCACCTACCTCGGCCCGGCGCGTCACACGGACCGCGCCGCCTTCCTACTACTTGATTTGGCTTGCGACAGATTCATAACGCCGCTACTCGAGATGAATTACCACCAGGTCATGAGTGCCTTTAAGAAAATGGAATTTCACATCTCCCTTGCACCAAAGAAAACATGGACGGGGAGCAAGGCATCGCTTCTGAACCAACCAAGGACATCAGTTGCGGAGGACTCTTCATGGTTGGACCTTTTGATGATTCTTACTGGCCCCTGGTCTCAACGTCTATGGATGATACAAGAGAATACGCTAAACCGGAATACCTGGGTTCTACGGGGGAAGAGAATCATTAGTCAGAACACGGTGCTACTGCTCGCTGTCTTCATACTTCACAAAATGGACATCAGCCAAAAGCTCGACCCGGACATGGATGAGATTATCGACCGTCTGTGCCATCTCCAGCAGATCTGGTGTCGAAGAATCAGGAAGCTTTCTGCAAATCATCTACACGAGCTTTTAACTTGCTTCCAATCTGCGAGATATCAAGATCCGCGTGATCGGATATATGCACTATTGGGTGTTGCAAGTGATAGAAAGAAGCTGGGTGTTGAAATTAACTACCTCAAATCCCCCAACGAGGTGTTCACCAAAACCACAGCATCTATGATTCAGGCACACGGCTTGCAAATATTAACGTGCAATTTTGATCCTCTCGAGATGAGGCCGGAGACCCTCCCATCGTGGATCCCTTCATGGAACGCTGATGGGTCTAACTCTGGTATGGAGACCCGTTATTGGAAGCATAGCCCTTCAATAAAATCTGAGACTAGCTGTTGGTTTGAAGACGGCCTCAGTGTTTTGGCCGTTGAAGGCACACAGATTGGAGAAGTTTTGTTCAAATTCGATGCTTGGGACTGGAACTTGTACAGTTTATACGAGTCTAGAGATCTGAGCACAACATCGGAACGCTTTGCTACTTTCATCCGTACTTTGAACCACGTGGAAAGTTTTATTGATGCTGATGACGATGAAACCCACTTGATCATGGGATGCACGCTACTTGCCTCATCCCAAGATATTCACGATCCGGTGGTTGGAAAACAGGGTATTATTACTGGATACCGAACTGCTGTCGAGATGATTAAAATAGAAGCCGAAAGGAACTGTAACTTGGATAGGACCAGCATGAGCACCGATGATGATCTGGACTTTGAGGATATACCTCTTCAAGCTCGTCACCTGGGCAAGTCTTTCATATCTAGCATGTCAAGGCTGAAGAATTTCACACTATGCACAGTTGCTGGGGGACATGCATGCATGGCTCCTGTGGATACAAGGCCCGGAGATGTCGTGGTGAAGATGCTGGGCGGCTGCGAGGTATTTGTCCTAAGACCTACCTTGAGCGATGGCATATACCAATATGTTGGACCAGCTTATTTATATGGGTATATGGAGGGAGAAGAACTCAAGGATCCTGACTGGAGGGATAAATTGCAAGTAAGTAGAATAATTTGATAGGTGTTAGGCTGGAAACGGGAAGGAGTTGGGGGTAATGAAGCTTTTTGCAATTCTGGCGCATTTAGATAGCATTTGACATTCCACCACATGGCCAAAGTATCCAAACACTTTGGGGTGAGTCGAGTTAGATGGATTCTACATTATGAGCATATATTTGATTTGGCTCGATGGAACCTACGAGTCGGATGCCGGAGGTTTCACAATCACGAGTTCCATCAGAGTAGAGCGCTGGAGAACCCAGCTCATTGTTTCCCGCGTTAATGTATATTCTTACAAATTTAGATTGACTGCGAGGCCACTTATGTAACCGTTATCTATAAATGACAACTAAGAATTGCATTGCTCTCTATTGCAACGTATCGAATCGATCTTTAACATACACGGAACAGAGACTTCATATTGTCTTTTATTTGCTACTTAGAGTCAAAAGTTGATGAGAGCGTTGATTTTCTAGACTCCTCTTTATTGAAGCAAGGGGTTGGTCTGATATATGTTTTTATCTTCAGTGACTACAGAATTCCTTGCTATAAGACAACCTTAATTATGGTCTTTCCTCCTATCGCTAGCCAGGGCTTGCTACTTGATCAACTAGCTTGCGGCTCTCGAGTTCCAAGCAAATTAATGCATAAAACAGCGGCGGAAGCGGCTAAGCTTCCCAACACCAACATCCGTAGGCCTTCCCAGAGACAGCGTCTCCAGCGAACCTCTTCATCGCCCATGAACCAGGCCTTTCCAAAACCAAACGAAAACAGAGCAAACAGACAGAATCCTATACTCCAGCCCAGACCTGTACCAATTGTAGAGCTGAAAAAGTAAGGAAGGAGGGGGATGAGCCCTCCAATAATGTAGCCCAGTGAAATGGATAGGCCGGTGATGAGAGGTTGTATGTTGTAGGGCCTTTGATCATCTTCGAAAACATCTTCACTGTCTAATGAAATTCTAGAAGCAGCATACGAGAGGCCGTCTTTACGCTCCTTGATTCTGGATAGAAGGTCTTCAATCGCGTCGCCAGGAAGATCAAGGGGCCCGAGATAGCGGCGGATACGCTCCGCATCGCCACCCTTCTCGCCATCCGTGGCGGCATCGAGCATACCTCTCCGCTCTTCCAGGTCGTCGTCTTCAAATGACGTGCCACTTGCTTTGCGGCGCTGCGTTGAGGAGCGCACATCATCTAGGGCCGACAAGTAGCCGCCGATTCCCATGCTGATGCTTCCAGCGCATAGCTCTGCGAGGCCGGCGTAGATGACTGTCTGGGTGCGCCCAAGGGAGCTGAGCCCTACTGTGAGACCGAACGGCACCGTGAGGCCATCAGAGAAGCCCAGAGTGAAGTCCGATAGAAAACGGGCAAGCCACGGAGCCCGTTGTTGAGGCATGGTGGGGATACGGATATGAATGATGAACAATTGAAGGTGAAGGAAACTAAAGATGATAGAAACGAGTGTATTGTTTGCTTGCTCGCAAGATTCCTCGCGATCCCAGGTTCACCGAGATCTGTTCATAGCACTGCTAAGCAGCTACCTTATCACGATTGGCGAGATGAAGTCACTGAATGCAGTAAGAATTAGAGAAATCAGATTTGCTCCTCGGCAAAGTCGGCCAGGTAGAGAGGAAGGCCAATCTACGAGACTGGGATGCTTGGCAACACGCGACACGTGCGTCCGATCTCAGCAGGCCGGAGGGACAGGATAAATGGAAGATTTCCTAGGGTCGGGAAAGTCCGAGAAGACATTGCTTCTGGCTAGTTGGCTGCCATTGCTGACGCATAGCAACGACAAATGGAGCTGCCGAAAATGAGTGCCCATAACGCACGGCAACCACACGGACGCAACGGTGTCTTGCCATCTCGGCGCATTTTTGCCGATAGAGGAGTGTCGTTACCTCCAATGGCACCCACGTGCTCTTCTTTGAAATGCCAGTTGCTTAATTCGCCAGCCGAAAGGCCGAACGATCGCCCGTTTGCGGTGGGGATGACGGACTTTTGATTACTGGGGCTTCCCGTCGATGGAGAATCTTGGCACCCAGTCCAGGGGTAAACACAGGGGTGCTGTCATTGTTTGTGGAGATCTAACAAGGGACCAAGATGACCAGCACTGTGGTTTGAATCTCGCTATCTGTAGTTCACTGCCATAGGTTCGCTTGTTCCGAGTCCTAGATAATGTAATCTAGTGTCCTGTGGTTCCGCGGGCTATGGGTAAGGGTGATAAGGTGTTGGTTCACAGCAGAGGTCTCGATTTTTCACGGGATGGGTGAAGAACAGGGGTATGCATATACTTTCGGAACACACCTTGATGAGTTTACAGAAAGACCTCGGTTTTCATGACATCATATATTAACGTGCAGGGCTATTGGCCGCTTTATCAGAGTGATGTACAAGCTTTAATTGGTCTTCAGATGCCAGACATATAGAATAATTATTGAGTAGTCGACACTAATCGATACAAGAAAGCAAACTCTAGCCCTGGGAGGCCTTCGACCCAAAACCAAGTTCACGAGTAATTGCGTGGTACATCTTAAAGCTTACAGATGGATCTACTTCTTCGAAGGCTTTTGGTAGCCAGCGGGGGAGTGAAGACCATCGTTAACCTCGATAGCATCCTTGTAGTAGGTAGGAGCGTCGCTGTTAGCCCAGATCTTCTTGATGCCGGACCAGATGTTACGGCCATGAGCACTGCCATCCAGCTTGAGGTTAGGGGCAGGGTATCTAGAGTTTCCACCCTTGGAGTTGAAGTAACCGGCGTAGGAGACGTTCCAGTAGTAGTCTGTAATCTTGGTATCGATAGACCACTGGCGGTTCTTGTCACCGGTCTTGTCGGCGACCATCTGGTAGACATTGGCACCGACATCCCAACGGCCGAGGGTGGGGAGGTCCCAGTTGGCCTGGACACTCGCAATCTCAGAGTAGTGGTTGTAGTAGGTGCTGTCAGTGGTGCCAACAAGGTTCTTGGGGACGGCGTCACCAATGAGAATACCAAGAATCTGGTTGCGGTTGGTGTAGGTCTCATTTTCATCCCAGGTGATTACAACGAGGGTATTGTCAATGAAGTTGGGGTCGGAGAGGAGAGGGGTCAGGAAACTCTTGCACCAGTTACCGGCGACAGTGACAGAGGTATCATGGCCATCTGAGGTCATGTTGGGGGTGATGAACATCCACTGGGGCAGCTTGTTCTCCTTCAGGTCCTTATGGAACATGGACTTAGACGTGTCAATCATAGACAGGTTCTTGATTTGGGAAAGACGCTGCTCAGAGAAGGTGACGCTGTCGTGGAAAACGGCAGGGTTGTGCTTGCGAACGTAGTCATTGGCTCCGTTCTGCTGGTTCTTCCAGCCTTGTCCCTCAAATCCACTGTAGGGCATGTCCTCCTGATAGTGTGCCCAGGAAATTCCGGCCTGCTCCAGAAGGTCAATAACCGTAGAGATGTTACGGTCGGCACGATTGAAGTTGTCGTTCTCCATGCCAAAGTAGTCACCAGCAACGGCTGCCATGTAGTTAGGCTCAGACGGATGGGTGACGCCAAAGTAGTTGTTCAAAAGAATTCCCTGAGAAGCAAACTGAGCGAAGTTGGCTTTAATAAGAGGGTTAGCGAGGGAGACGTTGTCGCAAGATGGGGCAAGGACTGGAACTTACGATCACCAATGGCCTTCTCGTAGTTCTCGTTTTCGAACCAGATGTAAACGACACGGTCAAAGGCCTTGCCCTTGACATGGCTAGTAGGACTGCTGGTCTTGGCTGTGGCAGCAGCAGCAGCTACATCAGCAGCACCAGTGGCCGTGTACTTTGTCTCCCATTGAATGGTGCTGGTTGGTGAGGCAGTGGCCGTGGTGCTTTGAGCCTTGGTGCAAGGCTTGGCCACGGCATGACCGGCCAGGGCAAGAAGGCCAACAGTCGTGAAAAGCATTTTGACGAATTGAAAAGAGTGGAAGAGGCCGGTGTTGAGCAATCAGCTTGACGAGAACTGTAACACCTTGAGGGCGCGGACACTGCCCTACATATATATGCAGATGACGACGCGATTTCACAACGACCTCAATTCATACCCACATCCAATTAATGACAGGGGCGGTTTTCCCCTTATCCACGCAGTCAATTGAAAATTGGACAGTGCTGACTGGTGGGCATTGGTGTCGCTCCCAGTGTTCTCAATTCACTCAGGGCCAAGCCGATGACCTTCAGAACTACTCGTACGAATATGGCAGGCAGACAACTGCTGCATTAGACACTCCCCGCACAGTCTCGGTTATATTGTGCCGATCACTGCCAATGGCAGCCTCAGTGCTATTGGGCATGCACACACGTGCGTCCTGGAGCGTGCCGACTCAGCCGGAGTTGGAGGAAGACCTTGTATTTTAGTCGATGATCCTAGCGCGCAACTGAGTGGAACTGACTCTCTCTCTCACTGAGCAGTGCTCGCTCTGGTACTGACTTAGCAACGGGAACGGTCGGACTATGTATGCCACGACTCACGACAAGACTAAGTGTCAGTAAGCATCATCGCTCATAGCCGTTCCTGACGTTCTCTGGCCCATCCCCGGTACAACGAGTCAAGTCTGGACTGGAAGGTCAATTGGCGGGAGCTCCGTTTTCTGGAAGGTCTCGTTCCTGCATGTCACCCTCCCTAATCAAGGGTTCCTCCATGTGACGCGGCAACGAACCATCGGCCTTCCTGTCAATTTGGACTTGAAGCTTAATTCTTTCGTTATTTCTTTATTTTTGAGTTTTTTTATCGCCAAGTCAGAATGCGCCCTGCCCCCACATTCGACAGCAGTACACCGGTGGCCACGAGCCCCAACGAAGAAGAGGGTGATGGCCATGAAGAGGATCAACCATTTCTGCTGTCCGACAATCCAAACCATCCCGCTGAATTCAGGCCACGGTGGCAGAGATTGATCCCTTCCAAGCTTTCTTTATCTAGAACAATCATCTTCGCCATCCTCGTTGTAGCCACTGTCCTGGGATTAGGTGTTGTCGCCCTTGGCCTTCGATCTGGCAAAGTGCGCGG